TGTATTTTTAGTAGAGACGGGGTTTCACCATATTGGTCAGGCTGGTCTCGAACTCCTGACCTCAGGTGATCCACCTGCCTCTGCCTCCCAAAGTGTTGGGATTACAGACGTGGCTTCCCAGGAAACCTTTCTAAAGCCATTTGGTAGCTTCCTGTCATGCCGCTAAATACAAGTTTCCTCCAATCAGGGAGCAGTATTGCTGGGGTGCTGGCTTCCCCAAGCTGCAGCTTCCTCCTCTCATTTCTCTTTATTTGACCCTTGGTTGCCAGAAAAAGTTATCACATCTCCTTCTGGGCCTCAGCCTTCAGACTCAGCTAGACTTTATCTTCTTGCCTGACAGTTCCTCCTCCTGCTGCACAGAACACCTGGAAAAGCAAGACGTGAATTTGATTCCATTCATCAGAAAAGGAGCATTCATGGTCCACTCGCTACAAACTGTGGCATCTCCCCAGCCTCTTAGCAGGAAGAAGGGCAGGGCAGGGGCTCACATCCCTTGGGTTTTTGATGACTTCTCATATTTCTCTGGGTATCCTGCACCCCCGCTTCCAGATCTTTCTTCTGATATCCTTCGGGGTCCCCTAGGTGGGTCCTATCCCAGAACCAGCCCCAGCTCTCCTGAGAGGAGACGATAAGGCAGATGGACAGCCTCCTGGCAGGTTCAGTTGGCCTCAGCCTTTTTTCCTTCCTCTTTCAGAACAAGGACATGTTGACCAGTGACGTGGCAATGTGTGTCCAATTAAATGTTTTTAACCTATTCTGCTGTGCCAACAATCTGCCAGCCACATTTTTCCCTTCAGATAAGTTGCTGATTTTTTCCCAGGAGGCAGCCTGCTCTCCAGAGCCCCGTGCTCTGGGCCCTGGGGAAGGCCTGTGAGTTCTGCCCAATGCCCTTTGCTCAGATAGGAGCGACCTTCCCGGACCTGGAGCGGTCACTTCCCAAACCTCGTCCATTTCCCACTAGTTATTAACAGTCTATTCAGCACTGCGCTATGCCAGAAACATTTTCTCTGAAGCTAACACTCCTTTATGACAAACCTGCCATTATAAACATTTGAAACACCCTTTACAATTAAGAGCACCTGTGTAACGGGCAGTGCCCCCTAAAAGGGGGTCCCCAGGGTCACTGGTGGGTGAAGGTGAGATCTGTGTCCCTTCACTCCAGCTCCTCTGCGACCTGGCCCCAGCGCTCAGTCCTCCTCCAGCCTCCCAACCATGATGGTTAATTCTAGGTGTCTGCTTGACTGGATGAAGCAGTACCCAGAAACCTGATGAGGCATTCTTTTGGGGTCTGTCTGGGAGGGTGTCTCCAGAGGACACTGGCACGTGAGTCTGAGTGGAATAAGTGGGGAAGATCCACTCTCAATGTGAGTGATACCATCCGATCAACTGGGGGCCCGCAGAGAGCAAAAATAGAGGAAAGGCGAGTTGGTGTCTCTCCCTCTTGGAGCTGGGGTGCTCTTCTTCTCTTGTCCTTGGACATCAGAACTCCAGGCGCTCCAGTCTTTGGACTCCAAGACTCACACCCATGGCCTCTGGATTCTCAGGCCTTCGGACTTGGACTGAGCCTCACCACCAGCATCCCAGGGTCTGCAGCTTGCAGATAGTGGTGGGACTTCTTGGCCTCCCACAAATGTGTGAGCCAATTCTCCCAACAAATCCCTTCTCATCTAGCTATCTAGATAGGTGTAGACAGACAGACACTATTGGTTCTCTCTCTCAAGAACCCTAATACATAGCCTTAATCTCCAGCCGGGGCCCCTCCACCCACAGGCACACCACTGACAACCCGGATGGCTTGGGACAAATGATCCCATGAGGGTCTCCTGTCTTCATCTCTGAAACAGGTGCATGCACTCCTGTGGCATCACATTGTAGGGAGGGTTAAATGAGGGTTCATGCAGTACCCCGCTTCTGAAAGGCCCCAAGCTGCATTGCTGGCCCACTGGATTTGATGTTAGTTAGCAGAATAACACCCCAAATGCACCTCCCACAGCACACTATTTACACCATCAGGGCAGGTTCCTCCCAATGCTTGGGCCTCCAAACCTTGCCCACCCTTCACCTGACACTCAACGTTAGCCTGAATCAGAATCAGCTCAGGAGCTGGTTAAAGCACAGGTTCCTGGCCCCACCCATAGAGCTTCTGATTTCTTCCGTCTGGGGTGGGGCCGGAGAATCTGCATTTCTCTCAAGCTCCCCGAGGCTGCTGTTGCTGGAGAACCATTGCCCTGTGGTGTGGTTCTGATGATGGCACTTTCAACATAATGTGTCACGGGAGTGTGTCTTTGCTAATCACTCACTTGCTAGCACAGACAACCTTGTGAGACCTCTGTAGATAGCGGCAGTAACATGGGTCCCGATTCTCACAAATCCAAAATGACTGCATTCACTGGACTGAAAAATGCATCAGTGGGTGTCACCCTCCGTGGCTGCCTCCCTCTCCTGTTACCTCTGAACTCCCTCTCCTGCAGCTGCAGGAGCTGTACTTTCACCCAGGCAGCCCTGCCCTTGTGAGCACCCGAGGAGTGGGCAGAAGCACAGGCACATGACAACACAAGACCTTGGACCCTTCAGAAGCCATGCGGAAAGACGTGGCGAGCACTTAGGAGGACCCCCCAGGATGTGGTCCACAGGTTGTTTTTGATATAGTTGGAGAAGCAGACAAGGTCACACTGAGTTGACCCACCAAGACCTTGGTGTGGTTGATGACCCCAGAAAGGGAAAGGACAGTGCAGATAAGAGTCAGAGAGAACAACCTGGAAGAGGCCAAAGAGGAAGGGGCTTTGGGAGATGGGCTGAGATGGTATGAGACAGAGTAGGAGCAGGAGAAGCCCAGAGGAGCAGGAGAAGCCCAGAGGAGCAGGAGAAGCTCAGAGGAGCAGGAGAAGCTGGCGCCAAGAGCAAGACTTGTTGGTGGCACAGTGAGCCTGAGACCACGGTGCAGTTGGTGGTGGGACAGGCAGGACGGAGAGAGGGAGATGAGTCAGAAAGGTAGGTTAAAGGCTGGGTGTGGTGGCTCATGCCTATAATCCTAGAATTTTGGGAGGCCGAGGCAGGCGAATCACCTGAGGTCAGGAATTTGAGACCAGCCTGGCCAACATGAAGAAACCTCGTCTCTACTAAAAATACAAAAACATTAACTGGGCAGGGTGGCGCATGCCTGTAGTCCCAGCTACTCAGGAGACTGAGGCAAGAGAATACTTGAATCCGGGTGGTGGTTGTAGTGAGCCGAGATCATACCACTGCACTCTAGCCTGGGCAACAGAACGAGACTCCATCTTGAAAGAAAAAAGGTAGGTTAAGACCCATGGTTAAGGGCAGTTCATAAAAGCATAAAAGGCCTTGACTGGCCAACTAAAAGGTTTGCACTTTGCCTATAGCTACAAGAATATAAAGTTAATAAAGTTTTCTGAGCTTGTGACATATAAAACTGGTATTTTCTTTCAATCATTCGTTAATTCATTTAAAGCACAATTATCAAGTGCCTGGCCAGCACTAGGTGGGGACATAGCAACAATTATACAGTCCCTCTTTAAGAACTCCCGGTAATCTGAGGGGGCAGAGGAAGGCCACCGTGACTGGAGAATGAACAGGAAGAGTAAAGGCCCTGGCAGTTCCCGGGGAGTGCCACCTTGGACGGCCAGTAGGAGGTGGCTGGGCCTGAGCCAGGAGGACCAGAGCTGTTGGCTCTGGGCCCCCAGCGGCTGGGGACAGGAAGAGTGTGTACTGTGGACTGTACAGTCCATAGATCCTATTGGCTCTAATTTTACTCTTCTCTCTCTCTCTCTCTTTTTTGTTTTGTTTTGTTTTGTTTTTTGATTTTGAGACGGAGTCTAGCTCTGTTGCCCAGACTGGAGGGCAGTGGTGAAATCTCAGCACACTGCAACCTCCGCTTCCCAGGTTCAAGCAATTCTCCTGCCTCAGCCTCCGGAGTCGCTGAGATTACAGACCCGCCACCACACTGGCTAATGCTTTTTGTTGTTGTTTATTTGATTTTTTTTTCTTTTTTGCATTTTTAGTAGAGACAGGATTTCACCGTGTTGGTCAGGCTGGTCTCAAACTCCTGACCTCAAATGATCTTCCCGCCTCGTCCTCCTAAAGTTCTGGAATTACAGGTGTGAGCCACTGCACCCGGCCACTTTTCTGTTTTTAAAAGAAAAGAAATGAGAGTGGATGGCAGAGCTGTACCTGAGCAGGGCCCCGCACTGTCTGTCCAGGGGCAGATGTTGGTTTGGATGTCAGGGTGGCTATGGGTGCAGCACCTGCCTTGGGCCTGTTCCTGGTCCGGTGCAGGAGGGTGAGAGCGGGGCCACATGCGCTTCTCGTTCACCGCACTGGAGAAGCTGGGAGGCAGCTCGGGTTCCAGGGAAGGGGCACCAGGTCTCACAGCACCTCCAGGCCTCCACAGTGAACTCTGGCCGCTGGGCACACGGAGCTGCCAGCCTAGGGTCTGCTCCTGTACTTGGGGGTCCTGTGGGAGGGAGAATTAGGTAAGACCCAGAGAGGAACAGTCACTGATCCTAATATTGATAATAATGACAGCACCTATGCAGCATTTACTATATATCAGGCACTGTTCTAATACATAGATTAACTCATTTAATCCTCACACTCTCTGCGAGGTGGACCCTGTTATATCCTCATCATACAGAGGAGGAAACTGAGGCCTCCATTCGCACTATTTATTCATAGTGTATCTTGGGGTCACATGGCTGGAATGCAAATCAGGTGAAATTTTTGCCCAAGGTCACACATCTAATAAATGTCACAGCTCGGATTCAAACTCACATCTGGCCTACAAAGCCCCCACACCCTGTTGGCCCAGGCAGCAGACTAGAAGGGAAAGACGACTGTAGCCTGAAATTGAGCATTTGCTAGGTCTGGGGCAAGAGTGAATGCAGGCCCAGGTCCCAGACACCTTCGTAAAAGTTATGCGCAACAGTCATCCACCAAGCTCACAAGCTGGGAAGTGAAATGCGCTATGTCTCCTTCCCTGACAGACAGCTTCATGGCAGCATGGACGGCGAGGTTCAGATCTGGAATTCTCAGACTCCTCAGCGGCCCACCACGACACAACGCGGGGAGAGCAGCCTGTCCGGGCTGCGCCCTTTCTCCTCCCTCAGCCGTGGCTCCACCCTGCACCACAAGGCTTCGCTTGTTTTGTTGTTGTTTTAGTCTCTGCCTTCATTGATTCTTTTTTTTCTCTTTCAAATATTTTTTATTGAAATGACAATAAAATAAAAAAGAACAGTGATCACTTTAACCAAACTTTTACTTTACAAATATAAAAATATAACCAAAACTTGTTTCTTTTATACATTTTCGTAAACGTAGTATCAGAAAAGTTCTCAAAGCCAAACTATAAATGACGCTTGTATACTATGATGTGAACACAATAACCAAAAGTTTAAATTTCTAAATACATGACCTTTCCCTCAACAGAACAGCATAATCGATATCTCTTCCCAACTTATCTCTATTTTTATGATATGATCTTTTTCATTCTTTCATTTGGACAACAGACATCTTCTGTAGGCATCAGGCATTGTGGTAAATCCCAGAGAATCAAAGATAAATCAGATATAGTCCTTGCCCTCCACAAGACCAAACTCTAAGACGAGGGAAGATACCAGAGGAAAAAAAAAGAAAACAGGAAAAAACTATAATAAAGGGTAGAAAGTCATGAGAATTTTAGGGGAGGGATAGATAAAGGGCCAAGAGAGCAGAGAAGAGAGAGAAATTGCTTCTCCCTGCCTCCCTTTCTTCTTCCTTTCCTTTCCTTTCCCTCCCTCTCTCTTTCTTTCTTTCCTTTCATTCTTTCTTTTTCTTTCTTCTCTTTTCTTGTTTCCTTCCTTCCTTCCTTCCCCCACTCACTCTCTGGCTTTCTTTTCTTTTCTTTTCTTTCTTTCTTTCTTTCTTTCTTTCTTTCTTTCTTTCTTTCTTTCTTTCTTTCTTCCTCCTTCTTTCTCTCTCTTTTCTGTCTTTCCCCTTCCTTCCTTCCCTCCCTCTCCCTCCTTCCTTCCTTCCTTCCTTCCGTCTGTCTGTCTTTTTTTCTTTGTCTCTGTTGTCCAGGCTGGAATGCAGTGGTGTATTCCTCAAATTCCTGGCCTCAAGCAATCCTTCCGCCTTAGCCTTCCAAAGCACTAGGATTACAGACATAAGCCATTGCACCCAGCCCAATCTGATCCTTAAATGTCAAGCTCTAAACCCACAGGACCTGAACAAATGCAGGTAAGAAGCCCTTTTAGAAGGGAAAAATGGACCATCAGGGTGGCTCACACCTGCAATCCCAGCACTTTGGGAGGCCAAAGTAGGCGGATCACCTGAGGTTAGGAGTTGAAGACCAGCCTGGCCAACATGGTGAAACCCCATCTCTACAAAACATACAAAAATCAGCCAGCCGTGGTGGCAGGCGCCTGTAATCCCAGCTACTCGGCAGGCTGAGGCAGGAGAATCACTTGAACCTGGGAGGCAGAGGTTACGGTGAACCGAACTTTTGCCACTGCATTCCAGTCTGGGCAACAAGAGCAAAACTCTATCTGAAGAAGAAGAGGAAGAGGAAGAAGGAGAAGGAGAAGGAGAAGAAGGAGGAGAAGGAGAAGGAGAAGAAAGAGGAGAAGGAGGAGAAGAGGAAGAGGAAGAAGAAAGAAGAAGAGGAAGAGGAAGAAGAAGAAGAAGAAGAAGAAGAAGAAGAAGAAAAAGAAGAAGAAAAAGAAGGAAGGAGGAGGAGGAGGAAGAAGGAGGAGGAGGAGGAGGAGGAGGAGGAGGAGGAGAGAAAAGCGTTAATCTGCTGTAGTCTACCTAGCCTAGAGGAAGCCTATGTATAGTTTTCATGGTGGTGTTGCTTTTTCACAACCTCTCAAGTAGCATTATAAATATAAATGGCAGAATTCCACAGTGGATCAGAAATAACAATGATTATAGTAACAAGCATGTGGACAACCCAGCCTGCAGTCCAAATTCCCCTGCCCCTCACTGGCTGCCCTGGCCCTCCTCAGGCCCAGAGGCATGAACACGTGCAGGGCTAGCCACTGGAGAGGGTAGACCCAGGGCAAAGGCCAAGCCTCAGGGGTCTCGGGGCTGACTGAGCAGGAAATGACAGGCCCTGGCCTTGTGGATTCTTCACCTCAGGGTGAGGCAGCTGCAGGGGTAGGCACTCTGCAGCAAGGGCTGGGCTGGGCCCCTTGCCTGGGGCCTGGTGCAGCGGGTGTCCCACTCCAAAGCCCAGACTCACCACACGCAGGAGAGCTGGGCCCTCTTCATCACCTAACTCAAAGGCCCTTGTAGGAGTCACCAAATGAACACAGTACTGGAGACCCGCTGATACCCCTCGGAGACTAATACATGGGTTACGATTTTCTTTTCTTTATTCAGATACTGAAGTGCATGCCAGCCTTCACATTTCCATCTTTGCTTTGGCCATCAGAAAACTCGGAGCTAAATTTAATCTTGCATCATAATAATCTTAGCACCTTCTTGACTCCCTCCTTCTTCGGCATGAGTTTTCAATTTTCTGTTCCCATTTTAGCAATCTTATTGTGCGTGTATCTTTTATTGGAAGCTGCCTCCAATCCTTTTTAGAAGCTGACAGGGTATAAATTGTAAATAAAAATAAACACTGCTGAAATCTTCCCATGGTAGCTTTCTTATTTCAGGGGGTATCTGAAATCCTGACTTGACTTTTGTGATAAATTCAACACAAAACATCTCGTGCATCAACTCAGTTTTAAGTTCCTGCTTCTGTAAAAGATCCTGGGTTGCTATAACCCTGAGCTCTGAAAGGAAAACTTTTCAATGGCAAATGGTAAATGTTTAGTTTGTAAACATTTACCTCAAGTGGTGGCTGTTTGCGACACCCCGCTTTCATCTTAAGTATTGTTTAAAATTTGGGGATTACGCTTAGCTAGCTGGGACTAGCTGGAGTGGGAGGCTGGGAAATGTGGAGTCACTTCTGGCTGGAGAAAAACAGTTGGAGAATGTATGCGCTCGTATGGAGATTCCAAGTCATTCCTTATTGTCTGCCATGAGCGGGACCAGAGGAGAGATGGGCATCCCTGCTGGCTGGAGTGCAGGAGAGGAAAATGAAGGCTCCTCTGGTGTGGGTTTAACTCTAAAGAGAGTTCCGGTTCTGGATGAATGGAGACCCCTGAGTTTCCCAGGTTGGAACAAAGGAAGTTTCTTATCTCAGGACGGGGAGAAGACACCACGAGAGAGAGCCCAGTGCACACCTTGGTTTCAGTCCTTTCTTTTTTGAAATCTAACTCTGTGAGATTAAATACTTGTTATTTAAGGCTATTGGTACGTAGCAGTTGTAATAGAGAACTCTACATTGTTCAAAAGAAGCGGTGGACACACACACACACACACACACACACACACACACACACTCCCCTCTCCGTGCAGCCCCGCACCCCCCCTTTCTCACCTCTCCCACAGCCAGCCTGGCCCTGCTCCTGGCCTAGGAGACCCCGGGGTCTCTTCCCCACCCCATCCTCTCGGGACACTTAGGCCTCATTCTTCCAGCACCGATCCTGCTTATTTACCAGGGTCGTGTCTCCTCAGAAGGTCACATCCCCTGGTTCTGCCAGAGCGTGGAAGAAAGCCTCCTCCCCAAGCTCACCTCCTCAAGAGACTCTCCACATCTTCTGAGCCACACGAGCAAAGTACCTGCCACTTACAGAGGCACCGAGTCCTAACTGCAGGTCATATTTGGAGAGAACAGCACTCTCGGTGCGTCTAGGAAACTAAACTTTAAAAGTGATGGCAAAAGTCATAGTTCCAGAAAGGCTGGCATGTGGCATTATTCCATGTGGACAGTGACATTCTACCCACTTAGGTAGACAGATGCATCTTTTCATGTGCGGCCATCATGGGGCACTGGGATTTTAAACCTTTATAATCTACTTTCCCCATTTTCCCTCAGTGAACATGGCTCGCTCTTCTAACTTAAGAAAGTGAAGGAGGGGTATTTGTGGGATGGTTGTTTTTTGAGAATAAAATAATCGTTGCCTGCAATACATGGGTTGATCTAACACCCCAAGCAGTCCCCAGGCCCCGTCTCTCCCTGGGGAGTAGAAGTGCTTGGAATCCTCCTTGCTGGGGCTCCAGGCTGGGCTCTGCCTTCTAGGACCACTCCGATGAGGTGAGATCATGACAACTTTCAAGGTTCTCTCTGCCTTGGGAGTGAAGCCCTATGGACTTTGCACGTCCACCTGGAACAGGCCTGCTGTAGGTGGAACTGTGTCCCCACAAAAGGTATGTTAAACTCCAAACCCCTGGTGTTGAAGGTTTCAGTGTTGAAGACTTCTTTGAAAATCAGGCCTTTCCATTTTCATCAAGTTAAAATGAAGCTATACACACACACACACACACACACACACACACATATACACACACACACAGGGACACACACACACTTTATTATTTTTATTTATTTATTTTGAGAGGGGCAGGCTGGAGTACAGTGGCACGATCTCAGCTCACTGCAATCTCCACCTCCTGGGTTGAAGCGATTCTCCTGTCTCAGCCTCCTGAGCAGCTGGGATTACAGGCGTTTTGTTTGTTTGTTTGTTTTTGTTTTTTTGTTTTTTACCAGAATCTCACTTGGTCGCTCAGGCTGGAGTGCAGTGGCGTGATCTGGGCTCACCGCAACCTCCGCCTCCCGGGTTCAAGCGATTCTCCTGTCTTAGCTGGGATTACAAGCGCCCGCCACCATGCCTGGCTAATTTTTGTATTTTGGGTAGAGATGGGGTTTCACCATGTTGGCCAGGCTGGTCTCGAACTCCTGACCTCAGGTGATTCGCCCTCCTTGGCCTCCCAAAGTATTGGGAGTGCAGGCGTGAGCCACAGTGCCCGTCCAAAATGAAGCTATATTTGATGAGAGTGGGCTCTACTCCAAGACCACTGTTGTCCTTGTAAAAGGAGAAAAGACAGACACAGGAAGACAGGGCCATGTGGCCACAGAGGCAGAGACTGGAGTGACGGGAGACAAGCCCGGAACACGGAGGACCCTGCAGCCCCAGAGGCCAAAAGAAAGGCGTGGAACAGATTCTCCCCCGAGCCTTCGGGGACCTTGACTGTGGACTTCCTGCCTCCAGAACCCCGTCTGTTGGTCGAAACCTCCGGGTCTTCGCGGTGCAGAGGAGGGCCAGGCTTCCGGAGCCTCACCTCCCGCCGCCCGCGCTCGGCCCCGGGTCCTCCCTCGGACGCCGCCTGTCCGTCTGCCGTCGAGTCCCACCGGGCTTCTGCCGGCACTGCCAGTTCACCTGCTGTCCCTCCCATCCCTCCCGGCTCCTGGAGGAGCTGGGTCCGCGTCTAGCTCCTCAGTCCTCCCCGCGCGCTCGGCGCCCCGCACGGCCCACGCTGGACAGATGTCCCCCGCCCGCTCCCCGGACGTCCCCAAGGCCCCTGCCTTCCCGGCCGAGCCGCCGCTGCCGCCGCTGCCGCCGCTTGCCGGTTCTCGGCCGTCCCCGCGGCGCTCCCGGGGAGCCGCTCGGCCGTGGTGCTCGCTTCGTCCAGCAGAGGGCGGCCGAGGCCCGGGCCTAGGCGGGGCTGTAGCCGTCTGTGCCGGGCGGGCGGAGCGAGGCACTGGCGACCTGACAACGAGGCGCGGCGCGTCCCCACAGCTGCCTCCCGCCGCGTCCGGGACCAGGGCTGCGGGGATGACCGCTCGCTGGAGGCCTTGGCTGCCTTTTGCTCTTTTGTTTTCTCTCTGGTCCCCTGGAACCCGGGCCACTGGAGGCT